AAGCACAATATAACGAACAATGAAAATATTAGAAATATAAGGCTTCAATTATAGTTTCTTATGGCATATCAATTCTATATAACCATTTACTATGAAGCAGAACAAGTTGAATATTTATTATGGTTAAAAACTGGCGATAAGAATAATTATAATTATATAATAATATAAATTGGCAATATAATTTAAATTTTTAAAGAAATTCAAAATTTGTCCAAATTTGTCGTTCAATTTATTTTATATTGATAAAAAAAATACAACCTGAACTACAGAATGTAGTTAAATATGTAAATCAAAGTTATACAATTTGAATAACGAGTAGTACAATTAAATGAACTGATGTATAATTTGTAAAATGAGAGTTGGTTCTAGTAAATGATAGTTAGGCGCACAGGAGGTACCTACCAAAAATATACTTATAATTCTAAATAAAACAAAAATCTATAAAATATTTTACACACTCGGATTTATTATTCGGATGTTTTAATATCTTCAAGTCATCCCATACCATTTACTAAATGGTAGCATTGCATTTTAATTTAACCATCTTAAAACAAAAAATGATAAAACTAACAATTGATTATAAATATTTCGTATAACTCTTTGGGGCGACCACTCTTCCCGAATCCTGGAGCGGGAGGGTTAAGACCTGATTGCTGAATAGTTCAGAAGGGAGCGTTCATGTGGATATATAAAATCAAATGTAAAGTTAAAATAAAATATATAATCAAATTAAAATAGGAATGACATAAACATTGTAGTTATTAACGGGCGGGATACAAAATTATATATATTATGGTTAATGGCATGTGTATGCATTTAAGAATTGGCAATCATTGGCTTTGCCCTAGTAGATGCTAGCTGTTGGAGTAATGTATAAGTTAAACTTTCCCATCGAGAGACTGACATCTACTTCTGCTTCTTCGGGTAGAGTATGTGATGTGAAGGCGTGTCGGCATCTCTTCTTGGCCACTTCTTGATGTACGAGTCTAGCTAGACATATTCCTGGATACGCTGGGTCATGGAGACCATTTTGTGGGCAGACTGGCACAGGTGTGTTGCACCTTGACCGCCAGATTCTTGGTCTTCGAAGTAGGACAATAGTGGATCTTTTCTTCCACTTGCCAATAGATGGATCTGCTCTCGTTAGACTGATTTCAAATTATAGACATGTCAACAATAACTATCGACCATTTTTTACTATCGCATTTCGCGATATACCACTATAATGAATAATTAAGTTTGCCAAGTAATCCGTACATATATTATTACAGTAAGGCTCGAAATCGGTTTTGTACCAAATATAAGCTCTTGTCATGCTCAAATAACATGAATGGGGTACCGTTGGATTCAGAATTTCACGGGGGTTAGCGAATCGTATTCTCCGCTTTTGTTTTTCTTTCTAAAAAAAATAAAGTCGATACAAACACTTTGCTAGGCTTCAATACTGGAACGGTGATAGGTTTGTAGATCGATGCGGGACAAACTGAACCTTGAAGATTTTGATGCGTACAGCAAGACCCGGATAGTTCCCCCGGAACTATCGGATCCTGCGTTTTTAAGCCCAAAAACGTACTATTTTCGAGATAACGCAAGGCATGGGGTTCGCATCCACACAACCTGACGTTCATTGTAGTACTTTCATTGGATACATGTCTCATTTCGTCGACTTGAGGTCTCTATGATCGAGACAGGAGGAGTTTGTATTATTTATCGATGGTGTTTTTGATCGACAAGCCGTATCATCGTTAATTTTTCACCAAATCTCAAGATTGAGCCACCAATTTCGAAGGCTTCCTTCTCCTTCAGGCGGGAAAAATATTCCAATCACCCCGAAAATTTAGGCAAACAAGTTATGAAAGAAAAGAAACTTTATTTGCGAATAACTAAAAAATTACACACTTTTCCCTAGGTTTTTCCCATGATTATATAAAACATTACTAAATTGTCTTCAAAAGGAAAAAAAATCATTGAAATCGGACAATTTTTCGCAAAGATACAGCTTATTGAAATTTGTAAATATGTTGTAAATAGGTTCCAAACAAAATTGAAGATTTAAATTAAGTTTGTTCCCTTTGTCGATTATATTTATGGATAAAGTAACAATTGATTTCTTTTTATTCTTTTGATACGTTACATTATTTTATTTTCTTACTAATTTGGCATTTGATAACAATATGCTGTGCGAATTTTTCGCACGGGCCTACTAGTTAAACTTATTTCTTAATTTAAAACTTATTGTCTTATTTCCGTAATGCAATAATTATTATTTGCGACCAGAAACATATGTTTAGATTATAATTTTAAATTTATATTTACATTTAATCAAGACCATTTGATTATCATATCACAGAACGTTCGGTTACTACAGATAACTTGATCATCGGTCTCTTTGGGGTCAATTCAACTGTGCCTTTCTCTAACATGCAAACTCAATTCAAGGGCACTGAACGATGACAAATGATCCAGGGATTATGGCTGTTCAGATTTAGCGGGCCGTATAGAACCAATATGAGTTTTCCCAAAGTGCTTCATCAGTTGACCAAACTTATGATGCACTTATATTGGCTATTTCTAAAAGCCTAGAGTTATATCGATATTCCGGAAAACACTTTTTATTATTTTTACAATGATTATATTGACTGATTTTAAAAGAAAGGACAATTGTATTTTTTTATTTAAATCACGACTATCGAAGAAACGTATGCATCAATCTTAGACAATTTTACCTTGGGAAATAACTCTTCCTATCACCATCCATTTAATTATAACTAACGCATGTAAATAATTTATCATCAAATTACCATTCTAAGTAACTTATAATTTTTTTTATATCCGGAGGAAGGGGAAATAACATTAATATTTATGATCCCACCATTACTTATAAACAATTATGTGTATAAGTGCATGTCTCAAGGTTCAACTGACTTAATTACATTGTAAGACAATACCACATTGCTCAAGAATATTTAGTAATCTGCATACTTTTTTTTATAATTATAATTTTTTTTCACCGATTCCGGCAATTTGTACTTCCACAAGAACAACCATGATAGGTAAAGAATGAATTCACGTACTGTTGCTTAGATGATTTTAAGAATGTTAAGAATGGAATATTATTTTAATAACATTGAAAAAGTTATTGTTACATCGTACCTTCATGGACAAGTTCAGGACAGCTTATATTCCACCAATGGAATCCATTAATCGATGAACAGCGATTTGTACAGAGTTAAGAAACGACCAAACAATTCTAACTGAAGATTGACACTCCAGGAAGGTCACAAAAGAAATGAAAATTAAAAAAAAAATGTTCTGAATTCTTGAATTTCAAAGCAGAAATAAATACAGATAGGAAAAAAATTGAATATAAAGCATCCTGAGAATAACAACACTGTTCAGAGATCAACCCCTGTTGAATGAGTGCCAATTTTCGAGACTTTCGTGAAAAGGTCTCGTATCGTTTAATATACTAAAAACCCAAATAAACAACCTGGAGCATGAAGGTTGTAGAAATGTGAGGGATGGAACATTATAAGCATCCTATACACCGAAATTCTACTCGGCTGAGTCTTTAGATACAATTAAAAAGTAAAAGAATAACAACAAATGTGCTTACAGTCACTTTCATGATAGTTGCGATGAAAAATTTAAAGAGAAAAACAAATTTAAAATGTTGAAGAGAGAGGATGTTCAGTCAAAATCCAAAGTAAAAAAAAAAGTAATAATACTCTCTTTTATTACGTTTCAGCCCAGGATTAAGACTTTCATCAGGGCTAATAAAAGGCAAAATAACAATACATATGAGAAACTAGTAAACGATGTTAGGATATACAATGGTAACATAGGTTAGGAGCTATGAAATAAATAATAATGGTTACAGAGTTAGGAATTTATGAAATAAACAGTGATAAAATAACGGTAATAACATAACGAAATTAATAAATGGATTAACAACGAAATGTAATGGAGAATTAAAAGAGATAAAAAAAGTAAGTGTTAGACATGACATAAATTGGATAACTTAGTTGCTATAATTTTATGTCTTAGTTTGTTAAAAGGTAGTGATACAGACATAGAATAAAATGTAAAAGAGAGAAACGGAATATTAAGGAGGAAGTTATATAAAGAAAATAATATATGTAAATAGAATAATTTAGGTACAATAAAATCTTTCATAACATACTGACTGCATTGAAGAGAATTTAAGTTAAAATTATTAGTACGTGGTACAGACCCCTTTTCATCGAATTATTAACATCCACCTGTAACTTCGTAAATAGTTTTGTCTCATCGTAACCTAAAACTATTTTATTATAAAAACTCTTGGGATTGGAGTGTTTTCAATCTGAAGGGGGGACAACTTTGCCTATTTAATTAGGTACTAAAAACTCGTAAAAACTCATTTTCCTTTCTACTTCGATCGTAAGATAATTTTATTACAAAATCGAGAAAAAAAGTGGCCTTCAAAAATATTGAGCCGTTTGGCGTGACCTACACCCACAAATTTTCAAAATAACGAGGTTATATAGGACAAATAGCTCAACATTTTTGTGTTTTTTTATTTTTCTCGATTTTGTGTTCATATTATCTTACGAATTAAGTAGAAAGCAAGTATTTACGAGTTTTTAGTACCTAATTAAATAGACAAAGTTTGCCCACTCCAGACTGGAACCGCTCCAATTCCAACAGTTTTCGTAAATAAAATAGTTGTAGGTCACGATGAGATGAAACTATTAAGGAAGTTTCAGGCAGATCTTAATAATTCGATAAAAAAAGGGGTCTGTATCAATATATAAAATAGAAAATAGTGGCATGGATATGATAAAGGAACGGTACGAAGATAAATGAGGTGAAAGCAAAACTAAAAGATAAATTGAAAACTTCAATTATTCACTACAGCAACCATCAATCAACTATTATAAATTAAAAAAGTGTATGATTGAAATTATTTGTTTAAAGTATTATTTTTTCATTAATAATCCTCTCATTTTCTTTTCAAGGGCACGAAACCAGACCCAGGACCTGATCCTCCGGAAAGTTTCTCAGACTTGGTATCCCTCCTCCCCCCCGTCATTTGGGACATGGCGGGCTGGGGCAAGCAGTTTGGGGACGTCATCAGCCAACCCAGGGAAGAAGCGAGGCCAGGCGAGACTGTCTCTGCCGTCTTTGTGGGTATTATTATAACGAGTCGATTAAGACTAGACCCGGATTTGTCATATTTGGTTTGCATGCTATTATTAAACCGCTGGTCGAATATTTTTAAGAATCAGTTTACCCAGATGTAATTAGTCAAATTTCAAATTGCATATTTGATGAGAAATGGATATTTGGATAATTTGAACTAAAAAAAAATCATATTATAGATGAAATTCTATAGACCGTAGGTTCATTTTCAATCCAGAAGTTGAGAAAAAAAAATTAATAACAGATTGATAAAATAATAAATGAAAAAGATATTTAAAACGTATAAAAATTGAAATATATAAAACTAAATAAAAAAGAAAACAAAGCACAATAAAATAAAAACGTGAAAACCTCAAATTTTGAGAGGGGGTTAAGTTTTTGAATTTTTTGATCGATCACAATGGTTCATTATTGAAAATAATAAACCAAAAATATTTAAAAATCACGATATCTCTACTAATAGTGCTTTGATTTCGATGAAATTTCCTTCATTTTGTAGGAAATTTAAATACCTTTGAAACATCTTATCACATTATCGACAAAAAAGTGTAAACTTTTTGAGTTATTCGGAATTTAATTTTACCATCCCTCGTAACTTTTTTTCCAGCTTCTTTTCGTTGAAGTATGTTATATAGATAAATTTAAAGGGCTTCGAGAAAATGACTTTAGCGATGTTTCATTGAAATCGGTACATTCGTTTAGGAGCTACAGTCTATAGCAACGCAGGTTTTTCGGCCGCCATTTTGAAAATAAAAGGCGGATGGTAATGTCGATGAAGGAGGATCATCCTCGGGTGACCTCTGATTTTATATCCAAATTTGAAAAAAATCGGTCCAGTAGTTTCGGAGAAAATGCGCGGACGGCGGACGGCGGATGGGCAAAAAAATTTTTATTCGTTTTTCGAATTCTACGGATCCTGAAACGCGAAACCTCAAATTTTGAGAGGGGGTTAAGTTTTTGAATTTTTTGGTCGATCACTATGGTTGATTATTGAAAATAATAAACCAAAATTATACTTGTTCCTATATTTTATTTAATAGCCTACGGATTTTAAGAACATTTATTACTTCTGATATATCCGTTTTAGTGGTAATCTATTTAAGCATGAAGTATGATAAGGGCAATAAGGGAGGGAATAAGTCGTTTAGGGAATTTATTTTACATTTTTCCAATTAGTTTTTAAATACCATCACAAAAATTTGTTTTATCACTAATTATAAGTTTATATTATTTCAATTTTAAAAAAGTATTTTATATTATTTATTAATTAGCAATAATTTGTGCTTTAACTATTTATTTCCAGATTCATTTATTATTCCAGTTCCTTATTATTACCAATTAATTATTATTTTTTTATTAAATCACCTATTGCTTTTTTTTTGTTACTTGGTATTACTTTAATTTTTGTTATAGTTTTGTATTACTTTGATATTTTTAAAAGCATTTCATATTAGGTTTTAACCATTAATAAATAAATATTATTATTTTCCCCATTTTATTTATCAAATTTTGTTTTGATTATTTTGGCCTATATAAAAAAAAATATGCATTAAGGCCCTCGCATTAAAATAGAAGAAAAAACGAGGAAATAAAAATACACAATCAAAAAGTGAGAGGCTTGAGAAAATGAAGAGAATGTTTGCTAATAATAAAGCATAGGTGCCCATCATCATTAATTTTTTTTTAATTCAATCTTTAATTGTTTTCCTAATTTATTTTTTCAGTTCAGAAATGTTTATATTTTTTAGAATATTTGAAGATTTTTCACTACATATTATATATTTAATTACTGCATCATTTTTTGTATATTTTACAGTTTTTAATGAATATTAGATGACATATTTTGAGTGTTTTTACTGCATAAAAATCCGGGCCTTGATTTTGACTATATTCGAAAATATAATAAGTATTATGAAATTATTAATTAAAAATAAACTTATATTTAAATAAATATTAAAAATAGTGCTATTCGATCTTGCTTTTTTTTTTAATACAAAAAAAAGATTTTGGATATATTTTAAATCAATTATTCTCAAACAGGTTAACTCTTAGGTTTCAGGTCACCCCCGAAATAATTTTCAAACCGAAGGAACGTACCTTACGGTCGAAAAACTTGGTAAGGATGACAAGTGGGATGTAGTGGCTACGGATGCTAACTGGGAAACCAGGTACTATTTCTTTAATATTCTCTTTAATATACTGAGAAAATATCAACTAACATAATATTTAAAGTTAAATAAAGTTTTTTTCTTTTTTAACTTCCTTGATTCTATTTTCTAATATAATTAAATAATGATGTACATCACGAATTCACCCATAACTTGATATACATTTTCGACAATATTTAAAATGAATTTTGTTTTTAAATAATAAAGTATGAGTTCCTAGGAAAAAGCTGTAATATATATATTTTTAGATTCATTTGGACGAGAGGTTCCAAAATTCTCGGCACCAGTACGGCAGAAGTTCGGTGGGACATTCCTCTGGAAACAAAACCAGGGATGTACAGGATAAGACACTTTGGTCATTTTAAGAATTTTCTATCTAGCATCACTCCCTATGAAGGGACCAGTATGCCTTTTAAGGTGAGCTACTTCAGGTAAATCTTATTTTAGAGAAGAATATGTATTTTAAGCGCTTCCAAATTAATTTTTTAGTGTTTGTCCCAGTTCTCCAAAACCACAACAAAACATTTTTATAAAATTATTTTTTTAATTAACAAGAAATTAAAAAAAATGTAATACCAATCAGTAAACTCGCTGTCTACTGAGTGATTTCTGTAAAGAAAATGATGTACCTAAAAGCAATATGGATACTTTTTTTTTTAAACGTATTTATCGAGAGATATTACAGTCTGTCACAATTAAGAACATTTATAATAGTGTTCAAAGAGCACATTCACAATACATAAAAATAAATAATATAGAAAAAGAATAATGCTATAATTAAATGTATATAAACTAAACAAAAACAAACTAAGTTAATGAAAATAACTACTCAAATACATACAAGCTTCTATACAATATCTAAAAAAAAAAAAATCATTAATTCAAGATCTCCTAACCAAGCCTTTCTCCCCACTCTTGGAAGGAAAGGCAGTACTCTAGGAGAGCCCAGCTCCCCTCACTCAGCCGCGCTACTTGTATTAAAGACCACTAAGATTGTGGTGTCATCAGTGAATGTTGCAAGAGAGGTATCGGGATGAATAAGAATGTAAGCGGTAAAGAGGATGTAAAGTACGGGACCCAAGACGCTGCCTTGGTGATAAAAAATAAAAATATTTTTATCGCGATAACGTTGGTGGGCGGGGTGGCAGAATGGGATAACGCGTGTGCACTGCACCGCCGTTGCCCGGCAACCTGATACATAAGACTTTGATAAAAAAAAATAGTCACAAGTTCGCGTCCCGGTGCCCGGAGGAGTTTTTAAATCCCCGTCCACACTCCCTGGCCCGGGAAAATCCCCGTATAGCCTTGGATGTGGGCAAGCTATAGCCGTAAGGCAAGGATGTGGAGGAAAAAAAAAATCCCGATAACGTTTTTTTTTTACATTTTATAACATATTAGCTGATAAACGAAATTCGTAGATATCACAAGCGCGAATGTTGAAGGGTAACTGTATTTCCGAATCGGCTTCTCCCAGAGATTTTATTCTCATAAGAAAAATGTTGTACCTTGTAATATTTTAGGCTATGCAAACGGTGAGGAAGCTATACTGAACTTACTTGGCAGACGTATTTTTTTAAATGATCTTTGCATTCTAAATTAAGTGGACATTATATAACTTAAAATTTCTAAAAAAGTGCCTTAACTATCTCAAATAACTTTGAACCAATTAATTATAATATAAATATATAAGCAATATGATAATACATATTATTATATTGTTATACCTAAAATAATTTTATTTTTGTAACTACCCTATCATTGCCGACTTGATCAAATAATATATTGCAAAAGAATTTGATTTTGAAAATAATATTTTTAACATTAAATTTACGTTATTTAATATATTTTTTTATAAATATATCAAATTAACTATTGATCTAATTCCATTGACAATATTAGAAAAATTTTAATCATATAAAATACAAAAGTAAAATAATTTTTGGTAAGTACAGATAGTTATATATCTCAGACATAGGGACATTGATGGAGAAATAAATTTACTCCCTCACCATTTAACGCGAGATGTCAAATGTTGCTGTATTTTTTTTTTATTGACGTCATAGACCATAAATATTCAGAATGGCAACCTTTCTAACAATGTTTTATTCGTAGGCTTTTCACACCTACATCCGACATCTCGGTAGCTGTCGAGCCAAAAATATCTTTGTAAGGGTGCAGTTTTCACTGTTGACTAAATTGACAGTCAAAAGTTGTCAAGAAATTGACAATACCGTGATCGATTCAATTGTAAATTATTTATTTCTATTACGATATTTTTTTTAACGTACGAATGATCACTTCAATGTTCGGCATGACATTTGTCAGGTCCTTAATATCTCTCGTATTCGACTCCGAAATCAATTTTCGATTTCTCAGCCTCTTGAAGTGACATGCGTGGAAAGGCGATTCATATTCAATGCAGGAATTACTCTTGGAGCTTTCTTATAATACGAATAATAGAACTATATTTGAATAACATAATAGTTTATTTATGTTATTGTAGTTAATAAGGAAAGTACTTAAATGCATACATATAAAAAATATATTCTTTAATCCACAGGTGGTCCGATGAGGAACTTTACGACTGTATGATTTGGCCTGCGATGTAACTGAAAATATCTTTGTGTATATAATTTAAATGTCTTAATAAAATAAATACTGTGTTATGATGCTCATTATTTTATTTGTATATAATTAAATTATGTTTTAAGCTATGAATAAATTACCAACCAAAGGAAATAAAGTTAATTTTATAAAAATGTAGTAACTATTAAGATTTCCCAGTTTTTTTTTTTAATCCTGTATAATCATTTGCTAAAATAATTTTCAGTGCGTTTTTAAAACAATAACAGATTTTGGAAGAATTGACCTCTAAATCATCCTACACCGCTGTAGGAGGCTCTGGACAAAATTATATTCAGAATTTATCAAGTGGTTAGGAGATCAGATAGGGTGGTAGTAAAAAGAGGGGGGAAGGAGAGAGAAAAAGAAGGGAAGTGGATGGATATAAATAATAGAAATACAAACACTTATTAATAGATCTTTTGTTGTTTGTTATTGTCATTAAGTAATAGTTGGTATTATCGTTGAGTGGTATGTTTTCTCAATTTTGTTTGTATAATCCTATATATTATTTCTAAAAGGTAGTTTTTTCTCAATACGCCATAGTTTCGTCAATTCTTCATCAAACCCAATGATTGACTACTCATTTTGAAGATATTCTTCTCCTTCACACGCAAAAAATAGTCCTATCTGCCAGAAATTTCTGAAAAAAGTAATGAAGGAAAAGAAACTTTATTTGCGAATGACTCAAAAAGTATGAAGTTTTTTTTTTGTTTTTTGGGGTGGAGGGTTGTATCAATGATGATTAGAAAGATAACTATAACCTACATATATAGGTAATAACCTACAAAACCAAAAAACAAAAAATCGCAAAAATCGATTAGATATGTATGTATATAATATGTATAATTTAAACAATTTGTATTGATGGAAGGAGTAAAGTGTGTTGTAATATCTTTTTTAAATAGAAATAGCGTTGAGATTTGTATTTCGCAGCTCGAAAGACCCTCGAATACGGATTTTCATTGAGATCGAAAAAAAAAAATGTTCTACAAATTTAACCTAAGACAAATCTCACGAAAATAACAAAAAGTGTGATAAATTCATTATGCTTCCACCTATTTACTCGAAATTTTGCAGGGGTATAGGGCCTTATAAACTACACGATATGACATAAAAAATTTACTCCCCTAAATAATTTAGAACTCAAGTTATAAAATAAAAACTTGTTAGAAGTTTTTATTTATTTACTCTCTATAGACGTGTTATTATTTCTTAAAGGCATTTGGCTGTTCTTACATTTTATTTTTTTTTAATAATTTAGAAAACCCCATGATTTGGGCATTATTTTGTCTTAATTACTTGTATTATCTTTCCAGTCAGCGTTTAAAAATATGGCCTAGCAAAGCAATTTGTACAAATATTTTGGTCTATTATGTTAAATGGAATAATAATATTAATTCCTTTCTTACATAATACATAGGATCTACTTATTTCCATATCGTTTTGCTATTTCATCACTAAACAAAATTTTCTGCGAATTATTCGCACGGGCCAACTAATTATAATTATTATGTAATGCATTCGTAACTTGGAAAAAAAATGATAATATTAATTAGTATAATTAAACATGTGAGGTGACGACCCGACGGGCGAACAATAGTCTATGTCGTATATGTTATAAAAAAGAAAAAGAAAGAAAGAACATAAATAATAATTATAAGAAACTAGTACAAAATAAAATACTAATAAGTCCCAAAACTAAAATAAAATAATTAATATGATTAAAGAATTAATAAATTAATATGATAGTAAGCAGCTCAATGTAGTAAGTGTCTTGAGCAGTGTCTCAGTAGCCTTCTGATCGGATTACATGGATTTATAGAAGTAGATGGAGCTTGACTAAGTGGATTAGTAGTTAGAGTAAGTCTGTCAAGAAAATTGATCACGCGGGCTGTAACAGTTGCTGTGATAAGAAGAATGTCAGTGCGCAGCCTGGGCTTCAATGGAAATCTTGGGCCAACAATGGAAAAAAAAGGTTAGTGTGTAACGTAAGATTAGAAACATAAAAGGGTACATCTACTACTGGAAAACTGGTGACTGATAAATTCACCATTCATAACATTCTCACTAAACCATTTTGGACAAATGGTATCGAATTGTGGGGAACAGTAAAAACATCAAAAATAAAAACAATTCAATGGTTCCATTCAAATACAAAGTATAAATACAAAAAAAAAATATATGTATATTAATTATTAATATATATATATATATATATATATATATATATATATATATATATATATATTGTTTATTCTTATTAGATTTTTTTTTTTGGCAATAAATGCTTTTCCTATTTTAGAAATTATACCACTAAAATTTTTCCTAGCAAAAAGATTTTGTGTACAGAGTAAAACAATTATATTTAAAAAAATAGACAAAAAAATATAGCACAGTTATTAAATAGTTAATATTTAATATAAAGATGTTTAAAATGGCCTAAAAGGCCGAAACGTTACATATATAATGAAACGAAATGAAAAAAAAAAAATTGTATTCAGGGATTACAGTCTCTAAGAATAATAGAAATAGAAAAATAAACATGATATGCACTTCATGTAAAAATTGATTAATTTTTTATTATTTCAATATCAGCCTTCTCGTTGCGAAAAGTGATCCCCTCTCCCACCAAACGTCTCACCCTCCTCCCACACACTTCTTTCAAAATGTTAAAATGAATAAAAATTTATATCACTGAATCATATAAGACAGATTATTGAAAGTATAAAGACAAAAGGCATATGATGACACAGATAAAATAGCTTAAAATTTTCAAGTTCAAAATTTTTTTTAAAATTGATAATCTGTATTTATTAACTCATAAAATCATGAATAATTAATTAATTTTTGAGAATAATTAATTGTTTTATTAAGTACGTTTTAACCAAAAACACACGCTCAAATCCTAGGAGAGAAAAGCATTGAGAGGAATATGGGGCGGAATCGTTGAGAATGGGATTAGGAGAAGAAGAAATAATGAGGAGCTGCGGGAACTTTGTGATGAACCTGATATTGTGGCATTGATAAAAAGAGCCAGAATAAGATGGTTAGGTCATGTGGAAAGAATGCTTGACCAAAGGATGCCAAAGAAGATGCTGCATGAGAAACCGGATGGCAAAAGAAGTAGAGGGCGCCCTCGGATCAGATGGCTGGAGGATGTTGAGGACGGTCTGAGGCGGCTGGGAGTTCGAAGATGGAGGGAAGTAGCACAAGACCGTGGAGATTGGTTGGTTGTAGTGGAGGAGGCCTGGGCTCTTGCAGGATCGTAGCGCCATTATAATAATAATAATTAGGTATATTTTGATTCTTGGATCAATTTATCTATTTGTTTTATTTATTTATTTATCGATCTATCTATAGTTTTGATTTTTTTTTCATTACTTTTCTTTTAATATATTTTTGTTTTCTACTAAAATAATTTAGTGGCATCATATCACAGGCAGAATTTTTTCAACAAATTCGAAGTTGATTTATTAGTTGATCCTTAAGACATTTTTTCGCTTTTTTCAATGATGAAAAAGAAATGTTGAAATATTGACAGTTCATTTAAAAAAATGGATATCTGTAGTTCGTTCAAAAGTGGATATATACCACATTGCAAACGAAATAGTCGAATTATGATCACGTGATTCAATCGTTAGTAGTAGTTGCCTGTTATTTCCGGAAAGCAAACAACGCCAACTACGGATTTATTAAATCTAAAAGGAAATTGGATCCCCTAAATTGAAATTGAAATTGAAAAGGGAAAGTTCAGGACTTTCCCGTTGGTAAAGTTCCAAATGAATGGTAGTTAATAAGATAAACAAATAGAGAAATTCTAAGTTCAGAAGCATAAGACACAGATGAAGTTACTAACAGTAGAAGAACAACTTTATTTTAAACTTTACAAATTGTGGGCTTGTTTGAAAAAGTTCAAACTAAAATTGGGCAGATTGAGTTTTCGTTCAGAAATTACTCACAACAAAGTTACCTATGTTCCAAATTAATTTTTGTTCCATTAGTTGAAAAATAAAGAAACAAGCAGTGAAGATAGAAGAAACTACAGACAACTTTTTAAAGTAACTAGTTTGTGAAGGTTCTAACTGCAATTAGCTGTATGGTAATTGGCTTATAGTTATGTTAATCAGAGTTCCACATAAAAGTGATATGATTTATGTTTTAAGTAAAGATCAGTTTTATGTGTATAATATATTTATATAGGTTATTTCAGAAACGAAGTATCAGGTATTTACATAATTTGAAGAAAAACATATTTAATAATTAATAATAGTAAAAGGCTTGGCGAACCCGAAGGTTCGATGCAAAACACATATTCTAATAAAAAAAACATATACACTACAAAAAAATATATATATATATATATATATAAAATCCTGATACCAGACTGAAACGACAAGAAACCGGTCGACGTTTCCGATTACTTCAGCACTTTCTAGAAAAGTGCTCTAAACATCCAATGAATTACAAAAGACTCATATACATGACTATAATAAGCCCTATTTTGACTTACAGAATTGAGCTATGAGGCTCCAATAAACCATCGAATTACTCTCGTATCCAATCATCACAATCCGAAATCGTTCGTAAAATCCTCAATGCTCTCTACTTTGTAACAAATAAAACCATCCATAATGACCTTAATGTTTCTCATGTTTCAGATCTGGCCCAATCTAGATACCTATCCTTCTATAATAAACTTCAGAATCATCCCAACCTTTTCGTTTCTAACCTTGCTTCCTCTTCAACTCCTGATAACACTCCGAGGCGTCTGAAAAGAAGACGGCCTCGTGATCTCCTAATGTAGACATATTATTAGATTGGGTAGTTTTTCAACAAGTATTTTCACGTCATTATATCCATATTTTCTAAATGTATTTCTTTAATACAATTGTAAATACCATTTAGAAAAAAAAAATGTATATATATAAAATTTTATATATATATATATATATATATATATATATATATATATATATATATATATATATATATATATAATACTAAAATTGTAGAAGGCAAAAATCTAAAAAAACATATAGTGTAAATAAACAAATTTTGCATTATTTATGTCAGGTTATAGCAATGCATATATAAATAGACGATCTTCTTTTTTTTTAATCTTTATTTTTTGTTGTTTCTAGAACAAAAAAAAAAACATGTAGTTAGTGCAAAAGATCGATTGTGACAATTTTACTTGTTTAATCTCTTTGCGATAAAGGTGAAATTTTATAGCCTGAAACTGCTGTACGTAGTCTGCTACATAGGAAAGTTGCAGAGGCATAAAATATGAAATTGTACTAATGAACCCTAAATGTTAGTTATCTCTTGAGAAATAATTAGTTTTTAATATTAATATTATTAACTAATTAGGTAATAATATTAATATAAAATAAAGAAGAGAAGAATAGTTGGGGTGCTCAGCCAAAAAAGGAAGGCAAAAAATAAATTATTATATTTATTTTTTACAATTATAATATGTAAAAAATAAATATTATAATTTATTTTTTGCCTTCCTTTTTTGACTGAGCATCCCAACTATTCTTCTCTTCATTATCCACGACAGTCAACCAATTACCAATTATTAATATAAAATAAATCGTTTTTAATATTAATACTAACCGATAAAACCAAATATGAATGTGGTTCATAAATATGCAAATGAATGTCGACCGATATCATGAATACAGTTAGTTAAATGTTAAATCGATGTGATTGTTATATATTTATCACGTCCCACAAATTTATCATGACTATTAAATAGTCATAACAGCCATCAAGAAATTTTATTGATCATCCTAACTTTCCTCCAAAACATAATATTTTTAAAGGAAGGAGATGGTCCGGGGTTGCGGTCATAAATAGGCTAAATAGTGGTAAAACTATTTTATTGAAAGCCAACGTTTCGACCAGACTTTGCAGGTCTTCATCAGGGAGGTGTGTTCATCTAGGAGTTTCACTTAGAACTCTGTCTAAGAGAAAGTCATTTCTAAGTGAAACTCTTAGATGAAGACCTGCAAAGTCGGGTCGAAACGTTGGCTTTCAATAAAATAGTTTTGCCAATATTTAGCCTATTTATGACCGCAACCCCGCACCATCTCCTTCCTTTATATTGCAACGGTCAACTATTAAATATTCAATATGACCCATAATATTTTAATTTTAATTGTCCATTATGACCATTTTTCATACTTTTACACGAATACAAAGCTTCCCTATGTTTAGTAGTGAGGAAGCAATACGGCGCAAATAATGGATGATTATATACGATTGAAACATAAAGTACTCAACATTATATTTCAATACGAACAATAATTTGAAAATGAGGCGTTAACTTAATTATATCATATTTCCCTTTATCCTATCCACCTCAATAATTTTTCAATTTAATTAAAGTAATTATCAGATTCGCTTACAAGAACCAAGCAGTATTATTTTTCTAATAATTAAGTAGTCGATTTTTATGTCTCGCTAATGGGAATATTTATGACTAATCGATTTTTTATTAACACTTTCCAATATAGTTTTTAATTTTTTTGAATTGGTGGTATTGTAAAGTATACCTAGTTGATGAAAAAAAAATAACGAGGGTTATATGATAACGAAATATATTTTTGATTTAATAAACATAAGTGCATTGTTGTAGATTAAAAGTTTAGAAAAATATCGACTGTTAAACAATTAATTATTCACTTTTTTTTTAATAGATTTTCAACAACCGGTTCATTATTTAACAGGTTATTCTACTCTTATAATTTGAACAGTTGACTTTATTTTTAGCCTTTTTAAAAAGAGAAATCAAATACAATTCGGTCCTGGATTGAAGTTATGTCTCGGGGTTCCAGAACCGAGAAGATTAATAATTATACTTAACGGCTTGGATTTTTTTTTTCGTACGAGTTCATACGTCGCTTGAAAGCGATCGCTAAAAAGAATATAAGTGCTGATGATGGACGACTTTGACGATTTGAAGCTGAGCGACTCCGAAGACGACGAAGGGGCAGGAGAGAGAGTGAGGATGATCATGGAGGAGATCTACAAGAACCAGGACAAGATCAAGAGCGAGAAAGACATCGAGGAGATGGCCGAAAGGTGCACTAACATGATGACGCAGATGAGGAACGAGGTTAGTAAAATTAACTATATAAAGTGTTTGAGGATGAATTATATTGGGTGAGTTTATACAAGTTATGACATCAATAATGTATTCTTACGACAAACATTAGCTTAATGATAAACAGGGAGATTATTTCAGATACCATTTACCTCCACATTGCAAGTGAGTTACCAAGTAGCTTCGACCTCATAAAATGGTAATAAAATCACTTCAGTGTTATCAAGTAATTATAAAGGGCACCTAATATACCTAACCAACACCAATGTGCTTTGTCAATGCCAAATATTCACCAAACCATTATGTTTGGAAAAAAATCTTAACCTGTACATAATGTTATGGACAATCCTTTATACGTGGTTTTTTCCATCAAAATCCTAAAAAAATGTTTATACAATTAAGTTACCGTGCCATATAAATCTACCTAATCTAAGTAGAGTTGATAGAGGGTTACATCCAATTTCATCGGGTCTGTTACAGCAAGCAGTTCTGGTCTGCATGTTGGGACAGACCCATTATAACATTAATAAATTGATATAATGTTGGGTGATGAAAATTGATAAAAGGAACGAACAATTTACCCAACATTTTGCGTTCCATTTTAATAAACATAATTCACTGATACGGAATTAGCCTTAACGCAATAAGTTTTATCAATGACTTTTTTACATGGCATAATATTATATGAACAAGAGATAAGAAACATGTTTTGGTTTCGATTTTCCAGAAACTGAAAATTTCCAAAAATAGTATAGTATTTATTATCTTTATTTATTTAGGTAAGGCGGTTAGGCAGAGATAACTGAGGCCGCAATAATATGTTATATTTTGCTGTTTGCTATTTTTATTTATAACTAAATATCACAAACATACATATATATTGAACATAATTCTATTTATGTCATCAGTGCACAGATATCACTCCAATTTGAGGAGTGGGCTAAGATCTCATGACCACGCTATAAACGGAATCCCGATAATTGCCGAAGATTAACGACGTTTTCACGGTATAATCCCCCATTACTTAATTCGGGGTTCCCTACTGGCAAGTTCACAGCTGGTTCTTTTCTGTTAAAGACAAAGTGTTAATTACCTTTCGACTCTTGCTCGCTACGTTCTCTCTTAAGAGTTAACTAATCCCAAACGGGCCCTTTTCTGTTGAGTTATTTACTAGACGATTCGGACATTCCTGTCTACTTTGAAATGAAATGAAATGACAAATAATTTTATTCTGGCACTGAAGTCTCCTTAGAATAATAGTAGTAGTATAGAATAGTAGCAGTAGTGTTCAAAAAATATGTACATTAGTCTGGCATGTAGATATCATACAAATATATACAAAAATACTAAGGACAATGTAATAAATAATATATATATATATTATTTATTACATTTTTCTTACTTCTATTCTATTATATATATATATATATATATATATATATATATATATATATATATATATATATATATATATATATATATATATAGAATAGAATAGAATAGAATAGAAAATAATTTTATCTGGGACGAAGTCCCTTCAGAATAACAAAAAAGTACAGAAATTAAAATGTTATATCTGGCCAAATAAAAACAAACATAAAAAGTAGAGATAAAGATAAATCAGTAAAAAAAAAAATATTAGCTTATACAAAATAAAATAAAAAAATCTATGTACAAAACTCTTGAAACCATACCAAGATACTTAAAACTATGTACAATGGTAAAATATAAATAAACCCTTTTAGAAAAAAAAAAATACAGAAAAAATAAATGTAAATTATTCTTAACAGTAAAATCTGTGTTTCTGTTGAAAAAAAAAAAGAAAGTCGAATCTATAATAATTATTTAAGTTATGAGCTATAGGTGAATATATTATTATAAATGATATGTAATTTTACATAAAAGGTTAGCTGGTATCTGACTGTTTTTGGGACAGGAATTGGAATAGGAGGGTTTCGAATGTAGATAGGGATGAAGAATGTCGAATTTTGATAGGAAGGGAATTCCAAAAATTAACAGAGCGAGCAATAAAGGAGTTTTGGAACGAGACAGATCTGTGAGAAGGAATGTAAAGGTCGAAAGGTCGAGATCTTGTGGAGAGGGAGTGGACTGAGGACTTGAATTGGAGAAGGTTGTAGGCGTAGGAAGATCGATGATTGTTGATGATATGACAGAGGAATGTACCTAGTAAATATTGTCTTCGAATGGAGGGGAAGAGCCACTCTAACTCAGTGTAGTGGTGAGAGACATGGTAATATCTCGGGGCACCAATTACAAATCTCACGCAACTGTTCATTAATCACTCTATATATATATTTACTAAATATATATATATATATATATATATATAATATATATATATATATATATATATATATATATATATATGTATTATTTTTCGCGAAACAGCCCTGAAGGACTACGCGACTATGATACTGGTTTCTTTTTCAATTTCTTCCTTTCTGCCCATCTCTGCTTAAGGATATCGCTAAATGTATTCTTCCTCTCCTTCGTCCACTCCCTCCTGGACGGAAGTTCCTTACTGTCCATCACATGAACCGCACTTTTCAGGAATTTCTTGAATTCTGTCCTATCCTCACATAATTCCCGTGTTATCAAACCTCTGTATTTCCTGTTTTATTTGTACCGTATACCCATGGTTAAACTTGTATCCCATAACCCTACTAAAAATCTTCTTGTTTCACCTCTCCTTGGTCATCCTTTGCATGTGCCCATAAAACCTAAGTCTTCTTACCCTCATCTCCGTTTCCAAATCAGAGGTTTCATTGTAAATCTCCTTATTTATATGTACATACTATGGATAATATAAATAAAAGGAACAGAGCTTATGTGACAATCTTAGGATAATATGGCGAACATCAATAATTGGAGTGACTAGTAGAACAATAGCGATAAACATAAGGCCTATAAGAATAAAGTATAATAACGATATAAATAATAATTAAGTCCAATAATAAAATGAAATACAAATTAAATCATAGTAATTAATAATTAATGAGGTCTAATGCTATATAGTGGAATATGAAGTTATAATAATACAAAAGAAAGCATTAATATAGAAGAGACGAAAATAAAATTCTAAAACTATAAATGAAAAACTTATTCGAAAGTACAGTTATAGGCTAGTGAGTCTATGTAAAGAAAAATTCAAAATACAATACCGTTAAGAAGAATAGTATATAATAAAATTTTAAGTAACTTAAAATTGAGAAAGTATCCAATTAAATATTTATGTTTTAGTTTTCTTAGTGTTAGCTCCGTTTAAAAGATCTTCTGGTATTTGGTTAAACAAATAGGGAACCATGTAACTCAATGTCCGTTTTCTGAATGTATTGTGATATTGTTATGTTTCGAAGTACTTAGTTTTGTTTCTAATGTCTTATATGTAGCTGATTTCATTTTTATATAAGTCATTATGCTTGAGTCCTATTTTGAATATATAAAATAAATCTGTTGCTAATGATCTAGCTATTTTAAGGTTTTCTTTTTAGCTATTTACGTTTTTAAAGTAGTAACAGTTGGAATTTTTCAGAAGTCAGAAATCTAAATCTGAATAAAGGGAGGTTATGTTTGTAAAGTCATCAACCCGAACATTGATCGTTGATTGAACATTGATTGTCACGAAGTCTCATTTATAGAATTTTTCACCTGTATTTTGTAGGTAGGGAGGATACAAGGAGAAGTATCTGAAGCCTTCAAAGTTCGACCATCACCGATGTTGTTCAACTTTGCCCTGGAGAAGGTAATAAGGACAACATCACAGGAAAATGGAGGGGTCCACGTTACAATGAATAATAAAATCCTTGGATACGCAGATGATATAGCTGCCCTTGGAAGTAAACAGGAAGACATTGAGAAACTCGCTACAACACTGATAAGAGAAGCAGAGCAGATCGGCCTACAAGTAAATGAAGGCAAAACAAAATATATGATAATAAGCCGAAAATTCCACAGCAATAACAGGATCTGCGTAGAAGGAAAGTCTTTTCCGACAATAGAAAAATTAAAATACCTCGGCTCCACAATGACTTCAATTAATGACCAACGGGCAGAAATAGACCAGCGTATAACTATCGCAAACAGAGCTTTTTTGTTCATTTCGAAGGTATTGAAATCCCGAAAAACCTCAAATTAAGGATGTGAGACCTGGACACTAACCAGCACCCTAGAAAAAAGTGTTGAAAGATTTGAGAGAAAAATCCTCGACACGATAACCGGAGCGATCTTGGATCACAGTACTCACACATGTGGAAGAAAGACCAATAAAGAACTGTTTACTGAAGCTGGTCAATCAATATCCCCTGATATGAAGGCACGGAGGTTAAGATGGACGGGGCATGTTGCTCGTAGCAATCTGGAAGACTCTACCTAACAATGAATGCCTCAATAGAAGGCGATAGACCACATGGAATGCCAGATGTATTAGATCTGCGTGCAGATAAATGGAAAGAAATAGCCCAAAACAGGGAAAGATGGACTAGGCTTGTTAAAGCGGCAAAAGATCTACATGGTCTGTAATGCCAACAGAAAAAAAATTGTAGAATTTTTGGCCTACTCTATTCAAATTCATATTCAGTTCAAATTTCAAACCTCATAACCCGTTTTTTTGTTTTTCTCCACCATAAAGGAGGTCTTATTACTATTATTACTGATTAAACCATTGCTAGTTTAATTTCTACATTCCAATTGCTCATTAACATTGCTATAATTATCCTCTTAACATATTGAAAGATTTTTTTCTGATTAAATGCAGATGGAAAGATTATGTGTTATAGTTTAATGGCGTTTGCTTTCTTTGAAATATAAAAAATTAGTGCCTCCTTAATCGTATTTATAACAGAGTTTTAAATTATTTTTCTATGTCAACTGATTATGTATATTTACTAATCATAAATTGTGTTTTTTTTTTATTTTATCATAAAATTTGCTTATCCAGAGAATATCTAAAGAAATCCATTTATTAATTTCGCATACATAATTAAAGTGAGATT